CTGGTGCTCTTGGTCATAAGGCAATACAACGAGGGAAGTATTAACTTCGGTTGTCTTATTGGGGTTGTTCTCATTCAATTTACCTGCGCGGCACCGTCTTTGGCAAGAAGTTAAATCAGGTACAATCCTGATTTTGATGTAGGGTGTTGAGGAGCTAAGAGTTTTGCCAGACTCCAAAAATTTCTTAGCTAGATCAACAGACTTAAATTTGAACAGTACAGGACATGGGTGGTTTGCGGATTTCTTACGAAGACGCAGAACCTGGCAGTCAGATACTGAAATGTTGCATGCCTGTAGACAGATTGCTTTAAGTTTGACAATAGGTACATTGTCTGGTATATTATATCCTAAAACATTGTATGAGGACATGACCCTCTTTACAGCCTCTGCAGTCAAAAAGTCTAGCAGGTGCTCAGATTTGAGGAGTGAATCTAAGGAAATCTCTTGTGATGGATCACAAAGTTGGAGGAAAGGAGTAATACTTTCAAACTTAGCCTGCAGGTCTGTTATGGATTTCTGAAGGATCTTTAGATCAATAGTATTACTCGCTACGTTATCGATTAGTTCTTCCGTTAAGTTTGGTACTAAAACTCTCGGTGTATCGATTGATCTTAGTGCAAATCCATCGTCAGGACTGATGTTTTTAGTGTCCTGCTGACTATTTGATGCTAGTCTCTTAACAGTACTAACTCGTTTAATAACTTTGACCATTATGCAGGTAAAGATTATAAAATTTTCTCAAAAATTGACAAAAGTGTGTGAAATACTGTTATATTATCTAAATAGATAAAAACAACAATAAACAGGTATGAAGTACAAACAAAAATAGACCACTATCAAACGAGTTAACTCTGATAATTATAAACCACAAAACTGAGGACTTCTCTATGGTTCTTTTGTGACAGATTGCTCTTTATTAACACGAATCTCACTGGATCCAAACAGTATTCTGGAGGTGATAAATTTGGATATTTAGCTACCGGAGGGGCAAGCAATATCAGCTATAATTATGTAGTAGTCAAATATAGACCACGATATTCCAGAATGCGAAAAATTATTTCCACGTTATACGGTGAGATTGTAACGTCCTACACGAAGCGCGCGGGTTGTCCTGGTTGTCCTATGGGTTCTAATCTCTCAGATCTTTGATTTAAATCCTCACTGAAATATCACATATCTACCTTATGATAATCTTTTTATTTACGCACTACTATACTGTATTTCATCGTAACTTCCTCGGCCTTTATCAGAGATAAAACTCCATATTTTCATTCACATTCGTCGCTCGCTTATGGTCTGTATGCTTTGATGAACAAAACGAAATATAACAACGACACCAATGTCTGAGAATGATAATATTTTCATCAAAAACGCCGTGGTTTCAATGATAAGACCAGTATGCATAGCACTAAACATTGCAAATGTATACCATCATTCCAAGGAGTCTCCACCTTCCTCTTGTATATGTCTTGTAAATATCCTCTCAACAGTGCATTATGCATAATTGCATTTTGTGCCTTTCCGAAGTTTCCGAGGATACTCTTCTCTTGCTGAATAGCTTTTAATCACGTTGGCGCATAGCACATACTGAAATATATGTTGTCCATGGGTTGACCATAACTATCACCAGGAAACGGAGAGAAGTTTGAGTTGTCGCTCAACTTCGACGGCAAAGGATTAGAAATTTAGCATTTATCAAATCCTGTTCTGATCGCTTGTACAATAGTTGAAAAATTTAAACATTTAAAAAAGTATCAGTTCATGGTACCTCACGATTCCAATTTATAAGATAAACGATCGTGCCTGTAAAAATGGAATGCATTACTCGTAAACACCAGTTTATAAGAAATATAAAATATCATAAGATTTAATAAAACTTGTACGCTTTTGATTTCAAAGTGAAGTCTCCTTGACAAATGTATTACTGTAAAAGCCTACATAGTTCACAAATTAACTCATGACATTGAAGTGGAAAAGCTTCTATTCGTCCCTACTGAACTTAATATGGAGAGTCTTGTAAAGTAATTCACTCTCTTGTAAAGGAGAGAGGGCAAGACATTCATAGTCTTGTGCTTCATGTATCACTGCAGTACAACTCGATGCGCAATAGTATTTATATGGATAAACTGAAAAATAAAGTCTTCCTCTTCTGAACAACTTGTTCTTATTCCAGCTACGATAATAAGTTTCTTTCCCCTATAAGTTATGTCTATGAAACCGGGATATTGTAGCAATTAAATCTTCCATCAAAATAAAGGCCACTTGAAACACAATGTGAAATGTTATGACCATGGTGATAATGTTTTTAGTCGTAAGATGAAAAGCTAACTGTTATGAGCACATGGAAACTGAAATTAATGCTGAAATTGAGCTATGGGTACCGACAACTACGAAACCAATTAAGACAATAGCGTCTCAATAAATAGGCTGAATATACCAGTTTAATTCCATGAAAGTTCAAAAAGATACCTGTGCGTCGGTAGCACAAGGGTTAAGACTCTCGCCGATCATGCACATGGTCCGGGGTTCGATTCGCTGCCGACGCACACCTGATATCAATGGTTGGCCTGCAAAATTTGGGCTACCGATATCACATGCTGAAAATTCCATACTTCTACCAGAAGTACTGTGTGGAATCAGGCTGTAATAAAAAAATCAAGACAAATTTTGAATATCCTACCTTATATAATCCGTCACATTGCGCAGATTTCAGTATCAAGCGAAATTTAGTGATACAAGTGCAGGGAATGTAACGCGGTCCGAGTACATTATTCCGCCGATATTATGTTCGTCAGGAAAGTCTTTAATGCAAAATTTCGCTTAAAAAGCATATAAAAAGCATAACTTGTTACCAAACCAAAATAGCAACGGATATTAACGCTACAATTAACAGGGATATGCAATAAAGCCACTCTGATTTACCTACAAACCAAATATCGATCCTCAAAGCACGCTGTCTATTTATCACGGAGAAATCTGCTTCTTCAGCCTGGAGACTGTTTGTGGCATTTTGATGATGTCGGATATTTGTTCAAACCAAAGGCATTGAAACTATATCTGATCATTAAAAGCATCACTGTTAGTAATAGAAAATTAAGTGAAAACATTATCAAATATACTTGAACCAATGAGTCAGGTAATAAGTTCCATAAAACTGTCACATCTTTTTCAAAAAGCCAACGCGATAACACATGGTGACCTAGAATCTGACTTTGTCCACCTTTGATTGGAGTAGGCCAGTGAGGCGCCAAGATGAAATTGACTGCCGTTATTTTCAGTTGGCACGTGTTTTTTGACTCTTGATGAGTGTTACGATTTCCGTTTAGCAGTCTGGTGGCAAATTCATATAAAATTCTCAGGAATTTGGGTAAGTGGATTATATTTTTGAATAAGGTACGTTCTATGGGCTCACCCACAGTTATGCAACTGGACTCCCAGTAGGGAAATGTACATAGGTTAAGTAAGTAGAGCGTATGACAGATAGGCAATTTTTGTCGGTTGAAAGGTAGACAAAAGGTTTCTAAAATAAAACAGGCTTCACACCTTCACAATGCTTACCCAATTTTTCTGTTTAAAAGGAGAATGTTTGTTTTGATTTCTCGATCTTGAATAACTTTGATGTCCTCATTCGCACCGCCGACTTTAGTCGAAACGATGCTGCCTGCGTATTTAGGTAGAGATGAATTCCTTCAGATATACCCTATTAACAATGGTGATTAATGCTTGTCGTTGTAGGTTGTCGTGTATCTTAATAATCTGTATTATCTCTATGTTCACTTGAAGTCGTGTCTTTTCGGCTTCTTCTGACGATTTATTGACTTACTCATGTAGACCTTCGAGTTTGTGTGACAGTAATTATTAACGAAGTCAATAACTTGTAGAGTCTCCTTCCTGGTGTGTCGTATGCCCGTTCCCCCCTCCCCTTGAACTGTTGTACAATCGGCCACAATCAAGAAGACCATTGGTCATAATACGACAACCTTGTCTTATTCATTCCTTGCTTCATTCCAAAGTTTTTCCTGAGATTTCCGTTGTGAATCACTTTTCATGTGGCATCATCGTATAGCTGTTGGGTGAAGTCGTCTATTTGGGTTTGGGGTACTCCGTTGTCTTATGGCAGTTTCCAAATTACTTTACACTATGTCCAATCACCAAATCACTGAAGGCTCAGAAATTCTCAAAGAATTCTCCGTTCTCATTCATTTCGGCGAGTGCCTGTCGACCCATAATACATCCCTTTCCTGTATCATGTCATCTCAATTCCGTTAACATTTCTACCACCCATTAGGATTTTGATGTCACTATCTGTTTGCAATAATGTGTAGGAATGTTCTTCTCTACTTGGTCTGCGTTGTTTATAAGAGCGTAAGATGGGGTAATTGTAAGATTCCTACATTTTGACTTGAATCTTGGTGTTGTTATCCTAGAGGAGATTGATTCCCACTACATAAGAGCTTTCGATACTATTTATGACGTCACGATATCCACTCGCTCAGCGCAATTATGATCATCATCTGATTGGTTATTGACTCTAGTCACTAACTTGAAGAGCCCACTTACGTTCTACCTACTCTCATAGATTCCCAGTACTTCTAAACCACATCTCATTAGCTATGCAACATGAGCTGCCTTCCAATCAACCATCGTGCGGACATTGTTTGTGCTCATGATTACTTTTCTTTTCGTCTACAGGAGACATCAGCTGATAGTCTTCCTTAAAGCTCTCACATCATCCCGTGTCATTTCGTCTTTCCGATTCCAGTGGGGAATAAGTTTATTTATTGATTTTAAGTTTCTATAGCATTTGGATTGCCTTCTCGCTAACCTCACTCCCAACGTGTCCCTTTTTGGGGGTTAAAAACAGGCTGCTTTTATTATTATTTTTTGTGTAGTGCAACTCTTGGTATCCATATAATACCTAGTTTGTGCTTAAATAAATCAATAAATAAATAATTCATTTTATTTTTCCCGGATTACATTTAGTAATAACATCTACACCTATGGAACGCAGTTTTTTAAATGCTCTGCAGTTTTTAAAAGATGAGGAGGTATGTTACCTTTATCATAATTCAAGTGTATGAATTTAGAAAGAAGATGAATCGAACTGTGAAGATAGACAGGCAGATTTTATGTTAGCTGCATGTGTTGATGGCTTTAATGAAAATGCGACGGGGATTACATCTCTGGATTATTTCGTATATATATGGAATCTTTTCAATATGATGCCAATTGATAACGATGATCCAATTCCTGTTGAATCTGTTGAAGTAGAAAAAAAGCACTTATTTCAATGTTTTAGTCGATTGAAATGTTTTCATGTTTGGCTTACAGTAAGTTGATTAGTTATACGAAAAGAGAAATATGATTTTTAAAACTTGATTGACTATTGTTTAGTTTCGAAATTAGTAAAGAGTCTTTTCCTCATTCCTTTGCATTCGGAGTCAAATACAAGTCTTGAGGCTTTTGGCTTTGAAAAGTCAGTAGCGGCAGTGTTTTTAATTTTTGGGGGATGAGGTCTCTAACCTAACGTTCAGCGATCAGGACCTACTAACGGTTGGTAAACTGAACAAGGTTTAGGAGTGCGTCGGAGGCCGGGAATCGAAGTCGAACCACTAGTGTGTTTGGCAAGCATGCTACCGTAGGACCACCGATACAAGTGAAATTGTGGAGAGTTTTACAAGTTTGGTTTTCATTCCTTGTGCATAAGCCATGCTTATCTCCCCTTTATCGTCCTAACTTTAGTCTATATTACTACCTCAGCGAATAAAAATGTGTAGGTATATGTGGTTTAGTTGAGCATGGAGTATACGGTCAGTGAGTCTGTAATTATTTAAAAGAGTTGGATGTTACTCGGCATATATTTCGTTTATTTTTAAAAGTTGCGTTGTAGCGATTTCGTCAGAAGCGAATACATCAGGTGGAGAATCACTAAGAACTACAGAGTAGTAGTGTGGGACTCTCCAACAGACTGAAACTATCCCGCTGGACTATACAGTCGTTGGAGTTAAATTCTAACTTTTGCAATGATATCAGTGAGTATCAGCCTTTACAGCCAACTTGTTGGAGCCTACCAGCAGTAGAGGATCAATTCACAGCTCACTAGTGGTTAACTGTAGGATGGGATTTTATAATTTTTCGCGGAAAGTCGTCAGCAGTGTAAGGATCTACCGAAAATTAACTATGAGAACAGATAGTCGCCGGTAGCATTATATGGCGGTGACGCTATATACCACGAATCGACAGAAGTTAGAATTCATGAACGGTTGAATCGTCACTGGACTTGTCTGATAGCCTGAAGGTTCTCAGTGGCTCAGTCTCCAGTGGTAGGGTCATAGTTGTGCGTACCTATGAAAAGTCTAGTGGTGCGTGGTTTTCAATGATTCTCTAACTGATGTAAATTTTAGAGAATTATTGTTTGGAATGAAAGTATAATAATAATAATTTTCTACATATGTTTATGTGACTAACAAGATTTTTCCTTGCTCCAACGCGCCTCATTTTTATTTTCTGCCTTCTCTTGTAGAAAAATCCTCCTAATATTCACGGAAGTGATGTCAAGTCATTGATATTCTTCTTTGAAGAATTCCTTAAATATACATTTCTTACTAAAACGAGTCTAGAACCACATTATATGGAGTCGGTATCATGTTTAATATTACTATCATGGTGGAATATTGGATTTCGTTCTTGTTCAACACTTTATCGTATCATTGATTATGAATTATTCGGTTTATGGTTCAGATTAATCCCTCAAATTGTTGATGTATCATTTTGGATTATTAATCATTTGTCTCCCTATCCAGAACATTCACATCTATTCATAATTAATTTGTTACGTATATATGCGGATTGTTATCATCATATAAAAAGTCGACTTGAGAAGAATGAGGACTCCGACACCTCTTCTTGTTCTTCTTCTTCTCATTCTTTGTCGTCGTCTTCGTGTACTTCTTCTTCTCCTTCTGCTGCTGCTGCTGCAGCTGTCGGTTCTCGAATGACTGGTATTGATATACCTCGAGTTCTTCGTGGTTTAACTGATATTTATCGTGAATCAGTTGAAGAATTAATAGAAAGGAATAAAGCAGAGAGGGGTGAAGACCGTACATATTTAGATGATCTAGATGATGGTGATGATGATGATGATTGTTCCAGCACTGCTATTAATAGTATGAAAACTGTTTGTTCAGCAATTGTTGAGATATTAAAGAATTTAGTACGGTAAGTGATATTTTTTTATTGGCTCTTATTTCCTTTGTTGTCTCCTAACAAAGACATATTTTGTTTTATGATGGATACTGGGGTGTTTACATGGTTATAAGATGAAGTAGCCTGGGATTGTAGAGAGGAGTAGTGACCATCGAGATCGATCACAAACACTCACGGACGACATCGTTGGCTCGCGATGGGCGTTTTATGTATGACGAATTGGCTGACCATTGGATTCCGTCTCTGTGAGTGAATGATTGGTTGTCTTGTCTTGCCTTGTAGCTTGAAAGTCTTGTGTCATGGGTGCGCACTGCTGAGTAGCCTCAGATTAGGAGGACAAGGCAGTTGTTCTGCACTCCATGGTTTCCAGTGGTTCTCTGACTAATGTCATTTTGTGATCTAAATTGACAGGAGATCGTGTGAGGATGAGTTGAGAGCTTGTGGACAATTGTGGAACCGGTTAAAAGAACCACAGAGAAAAGGAAGAAATGGAGGTGTTCTGTTAAAGCCCCATGTTCCACCCTCAACCCAAGGAAATAATGAAAACATGACTATGATAGCATTCAGTGAGTCACTACTAAGAAGAGCTAAACACTCGGCACTGATCACGCCTCAGTGATCCACTCAGTGACATAGATTTTGATTATCGCATAAACTCCTACCCTCACTGTTCAGAGTGATACTCCTTTTAATATTTGATAAAATTGTAAAAACAACATTGGTGGTAATGATGTCTAGCTGTCTGGGATGGAAAATAGAATAATCACATTTGCACATATATTTTGGAGACAAAATAGAATTTGATCGATGTCATTGTAGTATTACCTTAGGAGTGAGTGATTTAGTGCTGGACTTCCAACCAGTGAACTGTAGATAAAAGTTGTGCTTTGCCCTATATAACGTAACAAAATATTCCTGGATGGCTTAGAACAGTTTGTGGACAAAGTTTTTCTCAGAGTGAGTTGGTTGGCTTTAATGCCATCCTACTCCCAACCTCTGAAATGTTTCTTTCCTATATGGTAATGGTGTGGAAGCGCTTTGATAGTTATCTATTATTGATATTATATACGTTATTTACATTACTACTTCCTTTATTTTTCTTCTGGGTCTCAATACATTATTGATTAGTGTTATTCATTAGTAATATTTTCCTTATTTGTTCGATTACATTACTTACATTTACTGATACACTCACTGGTTGAACTCCTGGCTCAATTGCATTGACCGAAATTCAGCATAACCCTACCTGTACGGAATTTAGGTAGGATTAAATAAAAGTCTAAGTACTTGGCTGGATTCAACATAGAACTTGGCACCGAAGTGCACCAGTTCGAGTTGCCATGTTCCAAATAGCACACAAACGTAGACAAGAAGATGAGTGAAGAGAATCAATCGAGTTTTGACAAGTATACGAGTGAAACAGAATGAGTAATGGTAGAAAGGAATATGAAAGGTTACAGAGACTGAATACATCTGCGCCATTGACAACGATTTTGAGCCATGTCACCTAGTGTCTCCAGCCATTGATTTTTACAGTCCCGAGGGCCTGACTCAGTTAAACTGTCAAGAATTTCATGGATTGATGCCATGTTTTTGTTTGGCCACCATTTACTCTTTTCCAACCTGCACCTATATCAGCTAGTAATGCCCGTCGGGAGGGGGAGGCGATGGTTAGGCATGCGCAGCACGTGACCTAGCCATCTCAATCTATGTAACTTTATAGCCTCATCGATTGACTTTCCCTCTTTGCCTAACACTCTACGCCTAACGTCAACATTACTTACCTTATTATGCCACCTAACGTGAGAAAGAGACCGTAAACATCTATGATCAAAAACAGTCAACCTTTTCATGTCTTCAACTCGTATTGGCCATGTTTCAGAGCCATAGAGAAGGACGGAGCGAACTGCTGAGCAGTACACACGTCGCTTGGTTGATAGCCGGATGTCACGCCTACGCCAGAGACGGTGTAAGTTAGCGAAAGCAGCTCGAGATTTTTGGATCCTTGCTGAGATTTCGTCACCAATCAATCCATTGGCGCTGATACAACTTCCCAAATAGGTGAAGTGGTCAACATGTTCTATCACTTCACCCCCTATCACTAAGCTTGGGGTAGACGCCGTCCACTCCTGTAGCAGTACTTATTAGAATGTGGTGATTAATTTTAGAAATGTTAGTTTTACAACCTCATATAGTTAGTTCATCTTATCCACCTATACCTATTAGCTCGAAGGTGAACTGGATCGCATCTACTATTGAGTCTGTGTGTGATGCAACACCTAAGCGGAAAATTGCAACAAAACCGGTGGTATTCAATAAGGTTATATGAAGCAAGTTAGCTGACAAGTCGTGTTCGAAGTACATTGATATGGCTTAAAGCGGCGTTAAATTGTACTCGAAATATCGTTCAGTTATTAATAAAACGGTATGATCACTCTGTAAGTCTGTATCTATGTATGTATGTGTGTGTGTGGCCAAATTCTACTCTTAAACCCTTTTTTTGTTTTCTGGTTTTATAGTTCTGGAAGAGCTTATTGTTTGGAACAAGCACCTGATTTTTCGTTTATTTCATTCACTGACAAACGGATAAGTGAACGTTTGTATCTTGTTCGTGACTATCTGCTGGTACGATCTCACAGAGTTATAGCCAGTCAGATGGAAGCAACTACTGGAAGTGTTTTACCTCGTCTACCAAAAATGTTAAACTGTTTAGTGAATCTTACATCAGCAAAACATAAACTTCGTGAATTATTGGGTTGTAATAATAATAATAATAATAATAATAATAGTAGCGGGAAGAGGAGAAGTGGTCGTTCGAGATCAAATCGTAAACCTTGGAGTTTATCATCATCACCATCACTATTAACCAATCATTACAGATACATCACATGGTGTCTTAGAAATAATCTCTGTGTTAAAAGTAAGAAATTGTAATAGGTTCTATGAGATTTTATTTATTAATGTATTTATTTATTTTTGCTTTAATTCCCTGTGGAATGTACGGCTTGGAACTTTTTGGGGACAGTTGTGATTTTTGGTTCACGATGGATGCCAGGCTTGAGTCGTATGTTCTCCTGCGAACATGGTCATTTTCGTATCACCGTGCTCAACTCATCACTTCCTGTCTGGGTTCCACTTGACTACCTTCCTGGTGGTATATGATGCTACTTGAGTGTGTATCTCCTCAGCGTATGTTCTGTTCATCTTTCTTCACTTCTAAGTATTTCTGAGAACGAAATTCTGAAACCTTGGCGAACTTGTATCGTATGTCAGGCGTAGCCCCCCTTACCCTGTAGTTTTCCTATATCCTGGTTAAATATTGACAGACTGAAATGGAGGTTTCCCACTGACCTAAATCAATTCCAGTGTGATAAATTCTATGTAAAATAAAGTAACGTTGTTGATGTGCACTAGTACAGTGATTGACATAAAGTATCTGGAACTGAGAGTAAAATATAAGAAAGACGACTAGTAAAGAGCTAGTTTGTCGTAATGTGTATTCACTTATCAATTGATGTTCGTAGGCTATTGTGTTTCACCCAACTTTTCCCTTCATCTTCAATCATTGCAATGTGCCATCCGTGGGAGGGGTTCATACGACAGGCGAAATGATTCACAATGGAAAGTTCTGTGGGATGAAGACGATGATATTGGTTATTGTGGTGGGGGACTTGGTAGTGTGGCAGACAGTATGTAGTGAGATGGGAATACGTTTAACTGACGGGAACTCCAAGAAGGTGTGAACTTCGTGGGTGATTTATGCCTGATGTTGCGGAAAGGCAAAGACCTACAGGAGAAAGGCAAGCAGGTGGCCGAAGCGGCAATGAAAGCCAGGAGTTCAGGTAAACATGGTGGGGACAGGTGGTTAAGATACCTAAACAACAACAGCATTAATAATAAGAAGCACCAATAACCATCAGTGGAGCAAATCTCAGGGAAGTCGTCTCTTAACCTACTTGAGCAATATGGTTCCATTTACAGTGGGCAGCACGGACGAGGTTGTCAACGCTAGTGAAGATCAGGAAAGGAAGATAAACTTGAATTATACTCTGAACTATGTGTAACGGTCTGCGACACTTACTCAGTGATAGGACCCAGCATAAAATTGTATTGTCGTCCTTTCTCACGAATCGTGTGATTTATCATGTGATGGAGTTACTATGTTAATGTATCATTCCTCACACATACTGTGATATAGTGTGTGACCAATTCATCTTCTTCTGTCTCACCTTGATCTTTGTCTGATCGCCAACCTATGAGAAATAGACTTTTACAGCGAATAAGATCAATACATTCCCACGGTTGTGAGCCGACTTTATTATGGTTAAGAAAATGTATCAGTATCATGTGTTGTTTCTGCTGCTGCTGCTGCTGGATTCAACATGGAACTTGGCACCGAAATGCAGAAGTTCCAGTTGCCACGTTCCAAATAGCACACAAAGGTAGACAGGAAAATGAGAGAAGAGAATCAATAGAATTTAGATAAGTATAAGAATGAAACAGAATGAGTAATGGTAGAAAGGAATATGAAGGTTAAAGAGACTGAATACATCTGCGTAAGCCATTGACAACGATTTCGAGCCATGTCACCTATTGTCTCCAGCCATTGATTCTTAGAGTCCCGAGGACGGGCCCCAACCCGGAAGTCTGCATCTCCCTCCCTACCTGACTCAGTTTAACTGTCAGGGATTTCATGGATTGATGAGGCCATGTTTTTGTTTGGCCACCACTTACTCTTTTCCAACCTGCACCTATATCAGTTAGTAATGCCCGTCGGGGGAGGCGATGGTTAGGCATGCGCAGCACGTGGCCTAACCATCTCAATCTATGTAACTTCATAGCCTCTTCGAGTGATTTTCCCCCTTTGTTTCTTAAACTATATAGTGCAGTATAATACAATATCCATGCAGTCACAGGCCAGTCTTTGTTTTGTGATATTTGCGTGGCTCAGTGAATCGGAAAGCACAATGGACAAATAGACGTATTAGTGTACTAGTTGAGTTCATTACCGT